ACTAAACTAGGACTAAACTGTGAGTTAAACTGTGACTAAACTAGGAGCTAAACTGGAAATAAACTAGAAGTTAAACTGCAACTAAAGTAAGAGTTACACTGTGACTAAACTAAGAGTTAAACTGTGACTAAAGTAAGAGTTAAACTGTGACATAACTAGGAGTTAAACTGGAAACCAGTGATTTTGTTAAAAGAAAACTTCCATTATTTATGTATACATTTATAATACAGTATAAATAAATAATGAATCTAGTATCAGAAGTTATGTTACAGAATGATGGATTATAAAATAAATCTGACTGTTTTTGTTGAAGTCCCAGAGTCAGGAGCCGTTTCAGGAACCTGATGGTTTTTAATACCTCCGCAGTTTGACAGAAACCCTAAATGTGGTCCGCCTCAGTGGGGTTCTGAACTCACCGCTCTTTCGGAGCCCACCCTGCTGCTGGGGCTGCAGCTGGTTGAAGGCAGAGAGTTTGGACGTCAGAGGCTGCTTCTGCAGAACTTTAGCTTTCTTTGTTGGAGGTTTACCCTGAAAACACAAACACGAGGCAGGGCTGCTGTTTGCAAAAGAGACGAAGGTTTGGTTAAAAAACGTTTTCAGTGGAGAGTTTTCTCAGACGGACTGAAGGAGAACCAAAGAACAAACAGCAAACAACTTTAAAAACACATGAGAAGGAGAAACAGGGTAAAAGCTCGTCAGTCATCCAGGATTATAAATGTTTGGACCAAACCCTTTGTTGTAAAATTCAACAGCAGCGACTCCACTGATGACCTCTGAACTTCGGGTTAGTCCACTGACTGAAAGGATCTGGTTCCTGTCGAACCGGATTGGGTCTTTCAGCACCACAGTCCTGAATTCTGTTTTTATTTTGAACGTAATCAGAGCCACACCTGATCCTGAATTATCTGTTGTTTCCATCTTCTGTCGGAGCTCTTCTGTTTCAGACAAAATGTAAGAAAAGTAACTTTAAGAAGAAGTAAAACACAAATCCTGATTTATTCTAAACCCAACACAGACCCTGCAGCCACACTAGACGGGTTTACACAGGTCCACATGAAAGTGACAGGACCAGCAGGTCCGGGATGTCTACCTGCAGTCTGGCCAGGATGCTGGCCTTCTTGGAGTTGGACGAGTAACTTCTGGAGCAGGAAACGCTGCAGAACCGCTTGGTTTTACTGTAGAAAGCATCTCTGACGCCGACCATCCCGCACATCTCACAGGTGGCTGAGGACAAAAGACAGCTGGAGTTAAAGGAGTCCTCCCTGAGCTAGACAGGGCGACCTGAGTCCAAAAACTGCACACAGTAACCAGAAACCAGCTGCGCACCAGACCCTGGATAAAACCAGGAACACATCCAATTCAAAATCAATCTAAATCAGACCAAAACCAAGACTAAACTAGACCAAACCAGGCCAAAACTAAACTAGACCAAATCCAAGACTAAACCAGACCCAAACCAAAACT